AGGAGTTTGCTTCTGCCTTCACAACTATGCAAAGAGGAAAAACAAAATTATACAATGCTCTTCATTATATAGGCTTTGGATACATTTCCTCCGGATGGACCATACCTCCAATATAATATTGTAGCTATTGTTAATAATAATATGGATAATACAAAGAAAAATAATATGAATAAACTCGTTGTAAGAATAATATATTAAAAGTATTATAATACAAATTTAATCTTTTATTATTAGTCTTGCTTTATACTTGTCAATTGTTCTATCTGTCTTTATTTTTCGTTTAAAAATTCATTTAAAACCTAGTAGTTTATTTCCTAGTGGAAAGTCTACTAGTTTCCAAGTATAATTTTGTAAGATGGAATCTATCTCACTCTTTATGGCTTCTTTCCATAAAAGATTCTCAGTTGAGCTCACAGCTTCTTTATACGTTTGAGGTTCAGCCTCTAGCATATGGGTTAGAAAATCCGGTCCGAAAGACTTTTCTATCCTTGCCCTCTTACTTCGTCTAGGCTCTTCCTCTGTTTCCACATTTCCATTGTTTTCAAAATTTTGACTACTATCTTTTATGATAGTCTCAAAAGTTCGTTTTGATGAACTTGGCTCATCTTCTTTAGTCTTACATGGAAATACATGTTCAAAGAACGATGCATTCCTGGACTCTATTATCGTGTTCTTGTATATACCAAAGTTTTTAGACTCGTGCACAAGGAACCGATATGCGGTACTGTTATGAGCATACCCAATGAAGATGCAATCAACCGTTTTCGGACATATCTTCATCTTCTTTAGCGTTGGTGACATTACCTTGGCCAAACACCCCCACACTTTTAAGTATTTGTAGGAAGGTTTCCTTCCTTTCCACAATTCATAGAGGGTCTTATCGATTTTCTTACGCGGATCCTTATTTAAAAGGTAATTAGCCGATAAAATGGCTTCCCTCCACATGTTCTGTGGCAACCCAGAAATTATTAACATTGCATTCATCATATCCTTTAAGGTACGATTTTTCCATTCAGCAATGTCATTCAATTGGGGAGAATATGGAGGTATGACTTCGTAAATAATTTCATGTTGTGCACAAAGCGCACTAAATGGCTCGACATATTCACCACCTCAGTTACTTCTTACCATCTTAATCTTTTTATTAAATTAGTTTTCAACTTCTTGCTTGTAGAGAACAACTTTCTCTACAGCTTCATCTTTACTTTTTAGCAAATATACATAACAACACTTTGTGTTATCATCAATGAAAGTGATAAAATACTTATTACCACATCTAGTTTGAACAAACTTTAAGTCACAAACATCACTATGTATTAGATCAAGTGGTTCAGTGTTCCTTTCTATATTTGGAATGATGACCTTGTTAGTTTTGCCTCTACACAAGTTTTACATTTACGTTTTGAATCAATATGAAATGCACGTATGTGATCCAAGTTAATTAATCTACGTAATATATCATAATTAACATGTCCTAGTCTACCATGCCATAAGTTAGAAGACTTAAGCATATAAACGGAAGACTCTTTCTTTTTATTCATTTTCTTGGGTTTTACAGCTATAACATTCATTTTCCACATGTCATTCTTTACATAACCCCTCCCCACATACATTCTCATCTTAGACAAAACTATTTTATCGGCTTCAAGCACCATCTTAAGCCGTGCATGCTAAGCATCGTCCCGGATATGAGATTCTTCCGGATGTCAGGCACATATAGAACGTTGTGAAGCTTCACTTCCTTGCATGAGGTCATCTTCAAGAACACTGTTCCTTCGCCCTTGATCACAGAAGTTACGGAGTTGCCCATGAAAGCTTCTCTCTAGTTTCGAACGGAACTAGATCATTAAACTCAGCTCGGTCACAACAAATGTGTCTTATAGCCCCAGTATCGAGCCACCACTCCTTTGGATTAGAGTCGACCAAGTTCACTTCGGAGACAGTACCTGACAAGCTGATATCGGACACTTATTTAGAAATGGTGTCCACCGCATTAGCCTCCTTATCCTTGTTTCGCTTCGGCAGTTTGCAGTCTGCGGACTTGTGCCCAACCTTGTTGCAATTAAAGCACTTCCCTTGAATTTTTTCTTGACAATTCCTCCCTTTGGTCCCAATTTGGATCCAGGCTTTCCTTTCTTTTTGGAGCCATCATGCTCCACCACATTAGCCTTAGTAGAGCTTGCGGTTGCATTGGAGAACTTCTTCTCAGACCACCTATTGTCTTCTTCAATACAAAGCCTGACAACCAATTGCTCAACGGCCATCTCTTTCCTCTTATGCATCAGATAGCTCTTAAACTCCTTCCAAGAAGGGGGTAGCTTATCAACTAGCGCATCTATCAATTGGAGCTCTTGAACTTAACTAATAACAGTATTTGAGTCCACCATCTTGTAATTCAGGAATTGGCCTGCTAAGAACTTCTTAGCATCCGCGTCCTCAGACTTATATCTCTGGTCCAATGATTTCCATAATTCCTTAGTTGTTTTCTTTGAGCTATACACGTTGTAAAGCCCATCAGCCAAGCCGTTCAGCGCATAGTTTCAACACAGGAAGTCAGAATGGTTCCATGCATCAACCGCGTGGAATGCTTGAGTATCCACTTCATCCTCTCTAACAGTAGGAGGATCCTCTTTCGAGAATCTCACAAGATTCAACGTTGTCAGATAAAAAAAATATTTTTTGTTGCCAAGTCTTAAAATTCAGCCCACTGAATTTATCACGCTTCTCATTATGGTTCACAGGAACCGAGACCGGTGAAGGCCACGTCGAGGTCAAAGCAAGAGTCGGCACTGAGACAGATGTTTGTCCCACAGGTGAAGGCTTAGGCGTCATAATGTTGCTTCCAGCAGGAAAAACTACGTTCATGTTATCAACCATTTCTTCAAAAACAAAATTTCTAAGTTAGTAAGAAAATTGGCAAAAATTTCCTACAACAAAAAAGTTTTTTTTCCTCCTGCAAAGTCCTCTCTTGTATCAAATAATATGGATAATACAAAGAAGAACAATATGAATAAACTCGTTGCAAGAACAATATATTAAAATTGTTACAACACAAATTTAACCTTTCTACAAAACTTGATAAACCGAATTGGCAAGGATGTCTTGGCACGTGAATCACGCTTTCTTTAAAACAAATTCGTCCCCTCCGGCGAGTGCTTGAGGTTACATTAGACGTCCATTTCTCAGGATACAATGACAACAATTGTAACTCGAAGCACTATCGGAACCGTCCGGCGAACTAAAATTCAAACTTTCCCTCTATCACCAAAACCGAACTATAAAGAGAAAAATGCACAAAGAACTCAAGAACAAGAGAGAAACCGAGAGAGAGGAGGAGAAGAGTGTACGAGTGCAAGTGAGTGCTCTCCTTCATGTGGTACACGCCTTACATAGCCTCCAAAAATTGGGTGTTACACCAAGCCATAAGGTGTATAAATCCAGATTTATTCTCGAAATAATGGAGATTAAAATAGAGGTTACAGCCCCTGATTAACCTGCTCCAAGGTATGTCCATATTTAGAGATTTTATGCTCATAAACGCACAATAAAACCTGGTTCATGCTGCAATTTTCCCAAAGCCATAAACCCTACATTAATGTAGTGTTAAGGCCTGCACAAATGTTGCAGTTACCAATTCAAATTTGTTTAAAAAATAAATTCCAGATTTAAGTTGGAAAATAAAAAGAGAACTGCAAAACTAAGCCCACACAGACTGGGCTTTTCGATCCAGCATTCATGTCTGCAAGTCGCAGGTGCACACATTGGGCCCTTAACCTACCAGGACCGTAATTCGTACCCCCTACACATGAGAGAGCCTCTCTAGTATACATGTTTACTTATGCTTCAAAATGCAATCACTTATAAACACCACTAAAGCTTCATTCCTAGCCAATGTGGGATCTCTTTTGTAATTTCTAACTACCTTAACCATTCTAAGTAACATACTTAGAACATCAATTTCTCATTCACCTAATATTCATTTTGAGTGTATGAATAATTGATTTCGATCTCCTTGTAATGGAGAGCGTAAATCCATCGAGACCCGTCCCAAAAACCAATTGGGCCCCATTCTAATATGGGCCTCAAAATGGACCTTTAAAATGGCTAATTAAGCCATTTTCCAACAGCTATTAACGTAATACAAATATTTTTTGACATAACATGATAACTTTGTAACGTAACATGAAAACTAGAAATACGTAACACAAAGAACTTTGACTATTTCATACTATTGTTATACTTGAATTTGATTTTTTTACTTAATAAGGATTATTGTGTTAGAAAGGTGTAATAATAGTTAGAGATAATTAAGAGACTTAGTATCTCATATTTTAAACGTCGGCATTACGTGAAATAAGTACCAT